TTTTTCAATGACCATGAAATTCAGAGTCCGGGTAGTTAGTTAATCAATTGTGGCCCTGAAAAAATTTGAAGGAAAAAAAACTACGAATTTTTAAGAAAATGCTTTTTTCGTGAGAAGGACTCTTAAATGCTGACAAACGTCAACAAATAGCGAAAACTATAATTTCTATATGTTTGCTTTGCTCGAAATCGCGCGCATTTACAAGGCCCTAAAGTGTTTTGCTGACTTGCAAGGACCCATCTGTTATAACGATGCCCAAAATAAAGGGATGAATCTCATAGTTTGTTAGATATAATCCGTGTAAAGTTATGCTTATCATTTTCACATAAATTATGACCTAAATTTGGAAACCGCTGAATTTCTCGAATTGGGTCTTTGCAATTTTGGTGAAACTCTGTTCAGCGCAAGGCACTAATGCGCACTATGTGTAGCCGAGAGATTTTCACGAAAAAATGCCAGCAACAGCAGATTTTCGACTCAGACCTCAAAGGGGGGTGGCATTATAACCACGTGACATTTACTCCGATCGCCAAAAATTTTATGTTATATTGTAGATTGATCTATATGTTATCCATTCTAGTTGTTAGACTTACGATAAAAGTAAAGGTAGGGATACCAGAGAGCTTCAAAGTAGGATGGTAACCCATCAAAAAAACTGGGTCGAGTCACCTTAATAAATCATAACGGATCATTGGATTTGCATATCGCTATTCATCCCCCTCCTTATTAAGCAGTAGCGGTCACCTTTTTTGATGTCCCAATGAGTTATTTTTTTAGTCTTCACCTCTGTAAGCAATCACTTTGACAAGATGTATCATACTTGAGTGCATCAGATAAACTGGGTATGGCGATAAGTGGTTCTGTCATGGGATAGAGATTTCTCTCTTTCACCATCTTCATTTTCTTGAATAATAATTTTTGGTATTAAATGGTCAACCTGTATTAAGGAGCGGGGAAGCCATTCCCCAAAAAGGGTGACTGCTTAATACACAGCTGAATACAGGCTTGATTGTAGTAAATGTATTTATTTATTTACCACAACCTCTGGCCAACCTGTTGACGTACTGCACTCAAATTGGACCTGTTGATGATCTGGATGTAAATATTATGGTTCAATTTTATCCTTAATTGGTTTAAATTCTATTTCCTTTGTTTCAAACTCATTATCATACATAACCATGCCCGAAAACAAAGGAAAATAAAATTTAAACCAAGGATAAAATTGAACAACATAAGCATTGATACCATCGCGTTGAGTGATCCCATATATGGATAAATTCTTAACTTAAAATCGCTTATTACATGCTTCTTTGACTTAAAACACGCTCGATGGCGGATCTAATAGACACGTCATATCCCTCCCAATTTATAAGTAGATCACCAACCGTGCTTGACCTGTGGATTTTCCGCCGAACACATATACAATGGTTTTCGCCTCGGAAAGAACGATACACGAACACTGGAGAAACAACAACCAAGAAACAGCAGATCGCGATGGTACAATAACTAATTACTTCCCTGTCCTTTCGCGTGTTTCGTAAAAATAGTCCATCAACACAGGGAAGAGAATTCCAAAATTTAGAGCGGTTCCAAGAGTTAAAGCGATGATGAAAAAGGCACAGAAACAAACAAGCCAAGAATAGGGACTGTCTGCCTCCTTTCTAGACCTTAAATTTGTGCAGAAAGCTCTACAAAATGCTGCCATCACACTCCTTGCCTGCTGTAGAAGTAGCCTGTGATTTTTTTTCCCCAAACAGAGCGCCTGTTCACAGGCTACCGTAGAAGATGGACTGTCATTCTCTGCGCTGTCACACCATGTTCCCACAAAAGAGCGGTTGCGTGACACTAAGAACGCTACCTGGCTACCGGGGGTGGGGGCTTCGGCCAAATGAGGGTGTAAAAAATGTAAAATTCTTACCAAGCTACGATGGCCAAAGAACAAGGAATTCCATTTTTAATAATATATATATATATATTTTTTTTACCGCAGTTTGCGTATTATTAAAAATCATATTAAAAAATGTTATATTTTCCCGCTCTTTCATTTTTCATTTTCCTTATGTTTATCACCGCAGTTTGCGTGTTACTTCCCATAAAGCTACGAAAGTTCAACCACAAAGTTACCCTCCAGAGGGGATTTTTCTTACCTGACTCCCGGATAGTTCGCGACAGCGAGGCTCGAAGCGCTAAGAGAGAGAGGGAAATAACCGCCCTTGTTGATCCTTCAGATCTTTCTTGGCCTTGGCTTGGGAACTTTATCAGCCGTAAGATCGTCGGGACGGCGCAAAGAGGTGTGAGCAGAAAAAAAAACAACGGGGTGGGGTAAGGGTGAAAGAAATTCCCTCTTTTTCTCCTTAATTTTTTCTCGCTCTCTTCTTTCGCAACGCACTCCACTATCCGAACGCCAGAAACAGGATACCTCAGTTCTGGAGCCAGGGTACAAAGTCAATGGCCCAGTATTTAGTAATGGCTTAGCCGGCGAGCAAGCTCTCCTATTTGGGCGAACAAAGCAAGCCGCACGAGAACGCGTGCCTCTCGTGCGTCTACTTTTCACGATATCGCCAAATTAATGGAGAGCTTTCTAGCAGGCTAGTAATGGCTCAGTCAATTACAAGTGTGTCCATCGCCTCCAGGACATTTGTTGGGCATTTGTCATCTTTTCGGTCCAGGTGGTGGGGATTTGTCAGAAAACCACTTCCCGGGGCTGAGGCTTTTCCCAATTCTTCTAGAAGCGGTTAACGTCGTTCCATTTTCAATATTTCACCACAAAATATACCTATTTAGATAGCTCTAATGTACCTATCATTGGCTTGCCCCAGGATGGGCGGGGAGGGGGGGGGGG